TCGCTATTTAAAATATGCATTCGGAGAGAAAAAAATTTCAATCCATTTTAATCCATTCTCGTTTGCTGGATATATGCTAATTGATCTGAAATTAAAAGAACTGTTATGAAATAAGGTAAAAGATACAAAACCAATTACAAATTAATTATTCTATAAATCCTGGTTGGAAACGTGTTTCAAAATACACGTAATTCGTGAAAAAAAGGGGTTCTAAATTACTCAGCAAACGAGAGTTCAGATCGATCATTCATTTTACTTGTAATCAAAGAGAAAGGAGCAAACAAAATAGCTCAATTATTTTTACGTTACAACTTTTTTGAACTTAATTGAATTAAAACGAAAAATTGTCTACTTATAATTTTGAATAATTTAAAACATTTATGGTCCATTTTTAAATATAAACTTTTTTTATTCAATTAGATTGAAAAAACTGCATTTTATATTCAGAATGTTGAATTGAACAATATTCACGTTGCACAGAAACTTCTAATATTATTTTTTAATTTAACTTTAAATTAAAAAAACAGTACTTCCTAATCACAATTCTGAATTGAATAATATTCACGATGTACAGAAAATGCTAATATTATTTTTAGATTAAAACGCATAGAGATATGCTCTATGCAATTCCTATAAATGAATAAAAATGCATTCACGATTGAAAAAGATTTATTTTAACATTCATGAATCCGTATTTCTGAAAATCTGAATCCATTTTAATCCATTTCAATCCACTTTTGTTTGCTGAGTACTAATCTATATTGTTGTTGCGGGATTCTCTAAACATTTTATCGACAATTATCGCTATCGTTAACTAGTGACAGCCAATAAGAGCCGCGCTTTCTTTCAGGATTATCCTGCCATTGGCTGTCGCTAGTTAACGATAGCGTCAATTGATTGTTAATGGCGGAACCAATCAGCAATTGCTTCAGTATTGTCTAGACTCTGTTATAGGGACTCTACTCAAGACCGTCTTAAGTTCAATCTTGAGATGTTATGAACCAATCAGAGAGCCGCATTAGCGTCTCAAGATATTACTTATGACGGTCTTGAAATAAGAACCGGCTATAGGTGCATCCAAAGGGATGTATCCAAAAACACGATTGCACTGAGCACTCAGTGAGCTCTTGCAGCTGATTGGTATATTCCATTAAATCTAAAAATATAAACCAAACGGGTACAAAAACTCAAGTGAACGCTCAGTGAGCGGTGGTGCTTCTGGATACACCCTATGGATGCATTCAGAACGTTATTAAGCGCTCTTTTATCTGATTGGCATATTTCATTAGATTCTAAAATATAAACCAATCAAATGAAAGAGCTCACTCAGCGCTTAGTAAGCGGTTGTCGTTCTAAATGCACCCTATGAATACCAGCCTCAGGGTGCGCTCCTATGGGATGCGGAACTGCAAAACGTAATTGGTTATAACTTCATTTTGCCGTTTCTGAAAAAAATGTGATTTTTGGGGATTTAAGTGCGCTCTTTGTGCGATTTTACATATTATACATCTGGTAACCTTGGTACTTCTGCTCTCCGAGGAGGTTAAAACTGAATCGCAAGATCAAAGCAGCGCTGGTACTATGAAGAATATCAGATAGGATTGGAAATCTACAGGGGACTGTAAGAAGTAGAAGAACCATTAGGATGCACTCTTAAGAGGAAAAGATATTTATCAGTGCGATAACTTAACGTGGGAACAAGTATCTCGTAGACGTGGAGATAAAGTAGTTTCCGACATGAAGGCTCTAATACAGCGAGTGTCAAAGGCTTCAGTTTCAGGTAAAATTATTTGCAAATTAGACACTTACGTGACAATATATTTATAGATGAATCTATATAAATTTGTATTCCCCGCGTGATAAAAAGTTTATAATATATTGGGTAATCAATGTTATTGGCAATACTTGCGATTTATGTGTGACACAGATAAGAAATAAGTTGAATAAGGTCTCATATGGCGACAGTTAAGGTCTAAGTATGATTTTTCAGTTGACGGTGAAGTTATTAGTAGCATTGGAACTGGACTGTGCGTGTTAATTGGCATAAAGAGAGACGATGGAGTGGCAGATATGAAATATATGTAATGAAAAAATATTAATGAGTATAGTTACATATGTGTGTACAGTTGATCGTTAATTTCTCTGTCGTAGTATAAGAAAGATACTGAATGCCAAAATTTTTGAGGATGACAAGGGTAAAAAATGGAATGCCAGTGTAAAGGATAAGAAGTATGAAATATTATGCATTAGTCAGTTTACATTATACTATGTATTAAAAGGGAATAAATTAAGTTTTCATAGAGCGATGCCTACCCAAGAATCTGAAACCTTTTACATGAATTTTATTACTGAGCTTCGTGAACAGTATGTCCCAGAATTGATCAAAGGTAATATAATGGACTAATACAAATCATGATTTCCAGTCTTTTCAATTTTGCTCAGATTTGTAACAGTAAAGCGAATTGTTGAAAGATTTTTTTTTTATTTTTGATAAATTTGTACAGATGGTAAATTTGGTGCAAAGATGGAAGTTAGCATACAGAACAGCGGGCCTGTAACACTGGAAATAGTCTCCCAAAATACCTCTGACTCTAATATAGAGAATGAGGAAGCATCTGATTAATTCAAGCATCTATTTATGTTATAACATACTTTTCAATAAAATGATCGAATAATATATAGTGTATATGAGTTTATTTAACCTAAATTATCATTTTCAAAACCAAGTTTTGTTTCAAAATTAAATTAAATTCTTAACACTAATATTATATACGTAATATAATATAATATTAGTGTTAACATATATAATATTATATAATATAATGTTATACCTATATATATATTGTAAAAATTAACACGCTTTATTTAAGTATTAACATATATGCATAAATTGTAGTGATCAACAATTTATTTTTAAATATAATGTGTATTAGTTTTTTATTAGAACATTTATATATATATATGGTACAACTGTTTATCTCTGAACTAACTCCAATTATCTGAACTCCATTTATATAAACAAATTTGTGTTCAGTTCCAAATATCCAAATTTATAGCTAAGCTCTTATTATCTTATCTCGCCGTAATTATAATTATGGCGCTATAGTTAGTTATAGCTCAGATAATAGAAACTTTTAACGTGCTCAACTAACGTCACCTTCTATTATCAGAACTAATAAATACATAGAGGGGAGACTTATTGTTAGTGAACATATTAGCTGAACCATTCGGTTATCGATATTATCTTGTTCCTCGACATATGTTTGAATAAACAGAAAGTTTTGTTGTATATAAATTATGTATATATATGTATTGTATATATATTATTTTTTAATATATTGTATTTTAATTGTCATAATTCTGGATAATTAAAAAAATTGAAATAAATTAAAATATCTCATAACAAATTGAGTTTTTTCTACAATTTTGTTTCAGATGCTGACTAGTGTGAATTGTAACATTCAATAATCTACGTTTAACAATCAACAATGGCAACTTCTGAAGAAAAAACGAACATTATACAAAATGAGAATAGTAAATCAAGAAGACAAGATCAAGGTATGGACTTATTTCAATATATGAATATATTATTAAAAGAATTATTTAATATATTATTTGCAAAATTAATTAATTTTAGATAAGAAGATCGTACAAACTGGTGCAAAAAATACAGAAGATACAAGCAGTGCAGATAAACCAAAAGTAGGTGAATTATTCGTTCTTAAAAATGATACATCTATTATACGACAGGTATCATATTTTTTTTCTTATAATAGTATTACATTATTAGTATTACAATAGTATTACATTATTAATATTCTTATAATTCTTGCAATTTTAGACACGCGACAGTCAGATAGATCCTGAGGATATAGAAACTGTAGAGCAACTAAAAAATCAATTGGATGTGTTGATGAATCAGTTGGCTACTCTATCGGCAGAAAAATCAAAAATGGAAGCAAACTTTCAAATAGATAAGAAGCAATTGAGAAGCGAACGTGACGAAGTAAGATGAGAAATGTGACATATATATTCTGTTATCAGAATTGTTTAATTGAGTCTTAATGTTTGCAGTGTGAGAAAGTAATTAAAGATCTTAAAGACAGATTGAAGAAGGCACAAAATATCAATCATTCTGAAATCGAACATGTAAAGTGCAAATTAATCATGGAACGGCACGAGAGAGAAAAAGAACATTCTGATCTCGTCAAAAAGATAAAGTAGTGATTTAATTTTCTATAATTATATAAAATTATACCATTCGCGAAGTATCCATATGAATATGAAAATTAACAATATTTTCATAAATTTGTATAAAGTATATCCATGATTCTTGCAGAGAACTACAGAAATTATTATATGACGAGCAACGCAGCAAGGAACAGCTGGAAGGGCAATTGAAGACTCATCTTGCGAATAAGACGCAATGCAAGATTCTCGAAGCTGAGTTAGAAATTACCAAAACAAAACTCAAACAGGCCGAAGAAGCAGCAAAAGAGACACCACCTCTTCTTCTTTCTCTACAAGCCGAGATGGCTGTGATGAAAAAGCAACATTTGAATGCAATTCGTGAAGTAAAATCTGCCGAGAATTGTTAAGCACGTTACGCGAAAACTATTGTTGGATATAACAAGTTAAGCAATACGTTTTGATGTAGGAGCAAAAAAGAGCTGCCGCTGCGGAACAGCAAGCAAGAGGATCGGTAATCATACATGAGACGAGAGTGGCTGGGTTAGAAGCGCGATTAGCTGAACTCTCCGAGATCGTTGGAGGCTACGATAGACTGAGGCAACAGGATCAATTAGCTATTCAGAAATTAAAGGACCAATTGGCTACTTTGCAGGATATCGAGCACAGCGAAATTATGATGTCGAGTAATCACCCGGAGGAGATTATTTCCAAGATCAAATCTTTATATACTCGCTTGCTAGATTTTGACAACAAAAAGAAAGACTCAGCCTATGTAAAATGTGAATTAACATGTTTGATAAAATATGAAATAGACTAAAAATATTTGAACAAATAATTTAAATATATTTGCGTTTTATGTTTAGCACTATTGAATAGTTTGGATTTGCGGGATGAGCATCCTGATTACAAGGAGAAATATGGTGCGCTTCTACAAGAATTTGAGGACTACAAGCATCAAACAATGTGCAAATATAACATGTCGTCTAACGTACTCCGTAGTACTCAACAACAAAGACACACTCTGTCTTTGATGCATGATAAAGATCATGACAAAACTCAATTAAACCTCCTTAAAGTTCACAACAGTAACTTGGAGGAAAGAATACGTATGATTAACAATGAAATGTTAAATAAAGAGAAGACTTTGCAAGAACAATTGGAGCATCAACAAAAGGTAATTATTTCTGTAATAATCCATACTAAAAGTAATAAATTTTCAAATCTTATAGTGGCTTTCATTGAAAGTTTCAACATATTTTTAGTCTTTTTAAGTTAAAAGAATAATAAACCAAATTATATCCTTAGTTATTTCAAGAAGAACGCTCGAAACTAGAGCAGACATTGCATCAAAAAGATAATGAGTATCGCAATAGAATATCCATATTAGAACAACAGTTGTTGCGACAAAGAGAGAGATCTATGGCTCTCGTAGAGGAAAAGGATAAAGAGATAGTGACCCTAAAAGCATCATTTCGTGCATTACTACCTAATAAGGAAACTGCTGTTACGACAGAAAATAAAACACATTTGAAAAGATATGAAAACACCATTGAGCCGGTTACTGATTTGGTAACGGGATTACTGGCAAACGATAGTCCTCCGATACTACATTACACTCAAGAATTAGCTAGAAAAGAGGTTCAAGTATCATCATCAAGGAAAAAGATTTTGGAATTAGAGGCAACATTGAGAGAGCAACAGAGAGAAATGCTCCATATGAAAGAACAGCAACAGGAAGAGATTAAAAGATTGAAGGCGCATATCACTAGGTAATAATACAATGTCGAGAAAAGTAACTCTAATAAAATAAATATTTTACATACAGAATTGATAAAAACAGAATTTATATCACAGATTGGAAGCGTGCAAGTCAAGAGAAGGTGCTAATCTGGAATACCTGAAGAATGTATTTATAAATTATTTAACAACAAATGATGTATCGAGCAAACGGCACATGTTAAATGCCATTTCAACAGTATTGCGTTTTACACCTGATGAATTAAATAAAATTAAACATTAAGAATAAATATTTTTTTATTATGAATATATTTCTCACATAGAAAAAATAAATACATGAACGGCTATAAATTCTCGCAATACCAGGATTAAGTTTCTTCCTGTGCTTTCAATTCCTCTATAAGCCGTTTGCGCTCTTCTGCTCTCCTTAGATTAGCTAATACAGAACTTTCAAGTTCAGCGTCCGACATCCTTGTCTGCTGCGTTTATATAATGTAGAAAATATTAAAAAATAAGATCAAAAATAAGATTTGTTGCAACAGTAATCGCTATAATGTAAATAATACATACGAATATATCAGGAGCAGAAGAAAAACTGACAGAGGCACATGGCGTGCTATTTAAACATGTGGTTGCAGGAAATATAAGTTTTTCAATATTAGAATTTGCGCTATTTGCAGCACCAGTTGAATGTTTTTGTGTATCCCATAGACCACGCAACGTTAATGGATTCTTGGCTAAACCGATTTCTGCTAGAAGCGCTGTTTCCTAAAACAGACATTTGATTAAAAAACTTTACTGTATATTCAGATATATAGTCTTATCGACTTCATTTAGCAGAAAAAGCAATTTTACAACTGATGTAAAATTCTTTGATTTTTGTCTTTATTGGTTTTTGCTCCTAATTTCTCACTGAATCTAAATGTATAAATCAATTATATTAAAGAATCTTATAACAGTTACAAAGCTGCTTTTTCTGCTAACTGCAGCTATTGTTCTTTTATCAAGTATCTTTATCAAGTGTGGACTTACTGCTGCATTTTTATCTCCAAATTCAATCATGGCGCTGCCTTTCTTTGTAGATGATATAACAAGAACCGCTACATCCCCATACTGTAGAAGAATAATAATTTAAAAAATAATTAAGACAAACTGAAAAATGAAATTAGATATGATGTTACCTTAGAAAACATTTTATGTAAATTATCATAATTATATCCGCCATTTGTCAAATCACCATCTTGCACCTTCCATCTAATTTTTATTCGAAAGTCTCCCACATTAGATGTTAAATCATCCGATGAGCTCTTGAGCTTTTTCAAAAAAAGTTCTCGTGTAAAGATCATCTCTTCTTCTATTTGTTTGTACCACTCTTGCAATCGTTTTACTTCTGCCTGAATATGATTATATATTTTATATATCTAAATTAACAATCTAAAAAGTATCTGAAAGTAATTTTTAGCAAAATTAAGCTAGTATACCTTTGTTCGTTCCTCGTCAGATTTAGTATCAGATTTAAGACTAAACGACCTCTTATAAGCCTCCTCGCGTGCCTCCAAGTCTTCCTTCAATTTCTTTCTTTTAGCATCGAACTGTCTAACACGCTCTTTTGCCTGCTTCCTAGCAGCAATAGCTTGATCATACGCTGCCTTGTTTCACAACATATTTTTAATAAATTAGACCATCTACGAGACTTTCTAGAAGTCTGAGAAAAAAGATGATTGGTGATGATAATGTTAATGAATTTTGAAAAGATGCCGATATACTTACTCTGGCATTTGCATCTGTCAATATTTCCAATACTCTCGAGAGTTCCTGAAATAATTCTGCGGCTCTTGGATTATCTGGGTTTTTATCAGGATGGCATGTCAAAGCTTTCTTGCGATATGCCTTCTTGATCTGAAAATATAAATAACATCAAGTTTTCTCTCTCTAATTATAAAATATTTTACTTTGCTATAAAAAGCATAAACATTTTAATGTAAATAAACCCAAATCTTTAAAAAACAAATTAAAAGTACAAACCTCTGGCATAGAAGCTGTCGGCTCCACACCAAGCAATCCATATAAATCCATTTGTGTAATTGCATCCATTATTATTTGTATTTGATTCAAAAGTTTTGTTTAATTAACAAATAAAAATATATATATATATATATATATTTAGATGTGTAAACAGCTTCAATTATTTTAACTTCTTGATACTATCACGTTATAATTGTTCTCGTGCGAGCTTATTTAGAGATTTCCTATTTTACTCCTTCTCATCACAGTTATAATTTTTTATTCCTTAATTTTAAGATTATACTTTCAATCTTTTTCACAATAAAAAACAAACATTTAAACGAGTTAGATAAACACTATTATTATTATTATGTTAACCTCACTTTATCCTTAACCTAACACGCATTTACACAATTACGTGTGTGAGTGACTTGCGCTTACGTAGATATGCATACATAACTATTGTTAGTGTTATCAGTAATACTTCTACATATGCACATCGAATAATCGTAAAGAAGACTCAAACACAAGATGATCACGAGAAACCTGTTCCGAAATGTTTTGTGCTTTCGACGCACTCTATTACAGGTATTACACCACGTATCCCGTAAACAAACAATTGCTCATTTGTCCTTGTAATTCATAACAATATATTTTCGTCGAACTTGCCATTCGTGCATATGTTGGCATGCATTTACGACACACATTCCCCTATATAACATTACTTCGTATACTTGCGTGACTAGCAATTTTTTTTTTATTGTTCTAGAATAGACTTTGTTTTTTCAAAATTGCTATATTTTTACGTGAGTAAGAATATTTGTGTGATTTTAATTGTTACGATAAATATCCCAACCGATTAATAGCAAGATTGATACATCGTCATTTTGACTAGGGAAGTAGCAAGATTATGTTTTAATAACGCATGCGTCTTATTGACATCGATAAATATATTATTAAAAAATTATTGTTCATTATTTAACGTCACTTTATTACTTGAAATATCTGTACATTTTGTTATATCTATTTATAAAAAATTTTTAGATATATTAATGAAAAAAATTCTTATTTCATATTTTTTAGAATTTTTGATAAGAATTTTTTATTTTAAATTTATAAAAATTTTTGGAAAAATTTCTCTTAAACTTTAGATTTTATAAATTTTAGAAATTATAAAGGTACATAAAAATTCTGAAATTTATATAAAAATTTTTAAAATTATATGAAGAAATCTAAAAAATTTTTTCTTTTTCTCTCTCTCTCTCTCTCTCTCTCTCTCTCAGGGTAGCTACATATAATTATAACAAAATGTAAATGAATCATTAAACAAATAAGTAATAAAAATATGAATGAAATAGATATGACCACTTAATATATTACTGGAAAAACATTTCATTAATTTTTTCTCTGTTCCTCTTATATTTATTAGTATCTTTTATTTTCTAGATAAAATATTACAGTACCAGCTCAAGTGAGCCGCAATTCATGGGAATCAATAATACCTTCACCAATAGTATTCAATTCGTCAATGAAGAAAATTATGATCCTATTCCGATATATAGGATTTTGGAAGCTTCACAGAAGACTAAATTACCTGAAGACGAAACGGTTTGATTATTATCACAGTTATAAAAGTCACATCATACAACTTAAGGATACATATTTTTTCAAGTCATAACTTCCATTTTTGTCATATATACTTATATTTATAATATTTCTTTAAAAGTCTATAAAATTCTATATAAAAAAGAATTAATTTTGGACAATAGAATTTTATTTGACTTAAGTTCATTTAGTATTAATCACAGATAAAATTCTAAATTAAACTAAAAACGTGAATCGAAATAAGGCACAGGAAACTGAATATTATTCTTGTATTACAGTTAAATGAAGTATATCTGAAAAAAATGTATTGCGATATGGTGACCATAAGCATTATGGATAAGATAATGTACGGATTGCATAGACAAGGTCGCATATCGTTTTACATGACCAATACAGGCGAAGAGGCTGTGCAGATCGGCTCGGCCGCTGCTTTAACTCTAGAAGATACGATTTACGCACAGTATCGTGAGGCTGGTATGAAATTGTATTATGCGTTATCCATCTATTATACGCATCTAAAATATTGTATATCGATATATATGTAATAGGCGTGTTGCTGCATCGCGGGCAACCTTTAGCGAAGTTTATGAATCAATGTTACGGCAACTGCGAGGATGACAGCAAAGGCAGGCAGATGCCGGTGCACTATGGTTCTAAAAAATTGAATTTTATGACTATTTCATCTCCATTAACAACGCAACTTCCACAAGGTATTAACATTTACAAATTTATCAAATAGTCGACGATTGTTGCTTCACTTTGATTGTCATACTTAATGAACGAAAAAGCGTGCTGAAATGAAGATCTTTATTATTGCAGCTGTGGGAGCTGCCTATGCCTTTAAATTGAACAAAAAAGACGCATGTGTAGCTTGTTACTTTGGCGAAGGTGCCGCGAGTGAGGGCGATGCCCATGCGGCGTTCAACTTTGCTGCTACTTTATCATGTCCTGTTATTTTCCTCTGGTAATTTTTTAAAAATTCTTATTTTTATTTCATGAAATAAATGATCATATTATTTCAGTCGAAATAATGGATATGCTATCTCTACGCCAGTCTTAGAACAACTTAAGGGAGATGGTATCGCGGCCAAGGGCCCGGCTTATGGAATTAACACGATCCGAGTAGATGGCAATGATGTACTCGCAATGTACTATGCTACAAAAAGTGCTAGAAAGTTCTGTATAACGCAAAAGAAACCCGTTTTAATAGAAACTATGACTTATAGGTGAACGAATGTTAATTAATATATAATTTTAACTAATACGATAGCTAAAATTAAAATCATTAATAAAAATACACAGAATAAGATTCAAAGCAAAATAATGTCGAGTATGAATCATTACAATAAATTAAAATCTTGATAATCTTTCTTGCTGAAACAACTTTCTTTCTGTAAAACAAAACTTTCATCTAATTAACAAATTATTTTACATATTGTAAAAAAATCTTTTAGAATCGGACATCATAGCACATCAGATGACTCCACGGCTTATCGATCACTCGACGAGATTTCTGAATGGGAGACCCATTCGCCACTTGTTAGGTTTCGTCTATATTTAGAGTCACTTGGATTATGGTGTCAAAAGAGAGAGGAAGAATTAATAGATTCTATTAAAAAAGAAATTTTTCATGCCTTTGGAGAAGCAGAACGCAAATCTAAGCCACATTGGAGAAATCTGTTTACGGATGTGTACAAAGAAATCCCTGATCATATTAGAAAACAAATGAATCTAATGGAGAAACATCTCGAAGAATTCAAAGAACATTATCCATTAAGTTCTTTCACACACACAAAGTAAGAAAAAAATATATTATGTAAATGTGAATTTTATATTCTTTTATTTTAATAATATAAAGCACTAAACACATTTTATACAAGAGCATTCTTTACAGAATATTTTTTTCCACTCCTTGCCTTCCATCTCTATTGTTTTATATTGTCCGCAATTTCTTTATATTTTTCCATTCTAAATTCTTTTTTTGCTGCATTGAGCAGTAAATTATGAAGTAAATTTTGTTCATATGGATTGTACTGTTCTACACTTGGGTATATGTTACCTAAAAAAAAAGAATGTAATCATATAAGTAAATAAAATTTTTATTTAGTTTATTTATATAAGAATTTTTAGAGTAAATTTTGTACCTCTAAGTTCTAAAATTGCCCTATCATAGTGAATTGTAGGATATATGTTTGGTGCTTTGTGAAGTTTTGTGAACGAGGTGGTATAATTCTGATATCTCGGTACAAGAACTTTAAATAGTTTGTGCACCAGCTGCTTCTCAAGTAACCAAAAATTTGCCAAGTCCATCGTTTCCTTGTGTGTAGATCCATGGCGTATCGCCTCAAATATCAACTATAAAATAAAATGTCATTATTAGGTTTTTAATATTGAATTTGATTGGCTTAAGTTAAAGTTGTTAATAAGACAACAATATACAAGATTTAGAGTGAGATATATATCGAGTGTAAGTCGCAACAAGTTAAAAATTAATGAATGCGATCATAATCGGTCATGCTCTTTGAATTCATTGAACAAGAAACATGTCTTCGTTATAATAAACACGTGTCTGTCTTTTAAATAATACAAATAATGCAAATATATCAAGTCAATGCACATGCCTGGTCAACATAACCTCTGGTCTCGTCGGCTCTCGGATAATTTAACTCGAGTCGCTCGTATTTAATCAATGCCGTCAGGGTTTTCTGAAATTTAAGAAGTCGTCCCTCCGGACCGTCGGGATTTCGAAACTTTCGACGTGGCTTGACATTGTATCTCAATTTATTTACTAGATTCTCGACATTCGCTTGGTTCATCTTTATCAACTATTACCGATAATACCGATGTTTATTCTGGTTTACTCTGAATGGGTGCGTTCCAAAACTTGACTGTCAACTCCAAGTAGCTTTTATCTTTATTCAACATTCGGTGACTGATAAAGATAAAATAATACTCGAGTTGACAGAGAATGAATTGAATTGAGAATGAGTTGAATTTTAGAACCAATCATGGCTCTGAATTAAAGAAAGGTTCAGTACACTCAACAGCTA